GCAGGCCAAGCAGCATCATAGGAGCAGAGAGGCTAGGCGGAGGCGGCAGAAAAACTGCTCTATGTCCAAGCGTGAGCGGTATTCGTTGAGTACCTGGTTTGCTTCAGGACATGGTCGAGCAGTTTCAGGGCCGAAGAGATTACGAGAGAGTTGCAGTGGGAGAGAGATCCCCTGAGGTTTGTCCGGAGGGAGGAGGGTAACTTCTTCAGGCTAGGCATCCTTAGAAGAGGCTTCGCAGTGGGGTTAAAATTGAATCAGAGATAGTAGGAACTGCAGATGCTGGAGAATCCAAGACAACAAGGTGCAGGACTGGATGAACACAGCAGGCCAAGCAGCATCATAGGAGCAGAGAGGCTAGGCGGAGGCGGCGGAAAAACTGCTCTATGTCCAAGCGTGAGTGGAAAAACTGCTCTATGTCCAAGTGTGTTGTCTCGGATTCTCCAGCATCTGCAGTTCCTACTACCGCTGGAAAAGCCCAGCAGGTCTGGCAGCATTTGTGAAGGAAAAAACAGAGTTAACATTTCGGGTCCAGTGACTCTTCCTCAGAACTGATGGTGGCCGGGAAAACATCAGTTTATATGCAGAAAATAGGGAGGTGGGTGGGGTAGGGAGTAAACGATAGGATAGAGCCCAAAGAGAGAGAAAGACAGTTGGACAGACAAAAGAGTTGATAACAATCAGGCTGGGAGGGGGAATAGTTGTTAATGGGGACAATTAGTGACTAACAACAGGGGGTGTGTAATGGCAGGCTATGTGGTAACAAGGCCTGGTGTGTGGGCTAGGGGGCTGGGACATGGGAGAGTTTAGGCCCTAAACTTATTGAACTCGATATTGAGTCCGGAGGGCTATAGGGGCCCCAAGTGGAAAATGAGGTGTTGTTCCTCCAGCTTGCATTGAGCTTCGCTGGAACACTGCAGCAAGCCAGAGACAGAGATGTTGGCCAGGGAGCAGGGTGGTACGTTAAAGTGGCAGGCAAGTGGTAGTTCAGGGTCTTTTTTGCAAGCAGAACGTAGATGTTCTGCGAAGTGGTCGCCAAGTCTACGCTTCGTTTCCCCAGTGTAGAGGAGACTACATTGTGAGCAGCGAATGCAATAGACTAGATTCTGGGAAATGCAGGTGAAGTGTTGCTCTACCTGGAAGATATGTTTGGGCCCTTGGATACTGGGGAGGGAGGAGGTAAATGGGCAGGTGTTGCACCTTCGCTGGTTAAAGTGGAAGGTGCCATAGAACTGTGGGGGGATGTTGGGGGTGAAGGAAGTGTGGACCAGGGTGTCGCAGAGGGAACGGTCCCTGTAAAAGGTGGACAAGGGAGGGGAGGGGAATATGTGTCTGGTGGTGGCATCTTGCTGGAGGTGGCGGAAATGGTGTCTGATGATCTTCTGGATATGGATGCTGGTGGGATGGTAGGTAAGGATAAGGGGAACCTATTGCTGTTGCGGGAGGGAAGAGAATGGGTGAGGGCGGAAGTGCGGGAGATGGGTCGGACCTGGTTGAGGGCCTGTCAACAACGGAGCTGGGGAATCCTCGGTTGAGGAAGGCGGTGTCATAAAAGCAAAATGAAGAAAAGACCTCAGGATTGATTAGTGATTGGAATAAGAACATTTTATGACATTAATGTTACTTGATGTTAAATTACAAGGTCGCAGTTCCTGACCAAGCCAATGCTTTACATTCAGAAAACAGCTCTGCCATAACATATTATTTCCAGCCTCACTCCCTCAGTGGGTTGCTAGTAAGGTCGTATTTGGTCAGCTCTTCATTGTTGTCAATGTGAACTTGGATGCTACACTACAGATTTTAGTTGGTCTTAGTAGATTGTTGATGAGCTGTGGCTACCTATAGTGTTAAACTGATTAGCCCTGCCACTTCAACTCCCCATCTTGCCTCTAGATAAATGGCCCAGGGCTGAATGGAGCTGGGAAACCAGTTTGCTGGCAGGACTACCAACTCCAACCTGTCTCTGATCCTGACCTTGGTGGGATTCAAAAATCTTGCCTCAAGTATCTGCATTGTTCTTAAGAACTGGCTAGATATTTTCTTATTCCAATCTCTAATCAATCCTGAGGTCTTTTCTTCATTCTGCTTTTATGAAATCAATTCCAGTCTTTTCAGTATCTAATGTAATTTACCAGATATAATGTAATTTACCAGTTCCCCCCACACAGCAAACATGAGTTTGACACCGAGGTAACAATAGAATTTTTGAGCTAAAGTGACAGAAACTTCCCAGGGATTTCAGCTATCCAGTGACCCTGCTAAAGTTGTGGGTGACACAGGTCAGCATCAGGTTTGATTGTGATGACTGCTGTAGTTCAATAGCCTGTCAATATGCCAAGCTCCAATGTGAAAAGTGGTCACTTAGATGATGTAATGTGCAAGGGCAACTAGGGATGGGCAACGAATGCTGGCCAGCCAATGATGCCCACGACTCATGAGTGAATTTAAAAAAAAAAGGTTTTTAAAAATTTTTCGGATAAACGTTCTGCCTGACCGCAAACCTTCTTTAAACTGGACTACAATGTTGGTCACATACTGTGGCTTCACAGCCCTCGCCGCTAAAACCGTTGCTGCAGGTAATACAATATCGCCCATCAGGACTGGCATCACAATGCATTTGGATGTGCTGTTTTATTGGGAAAGTGTGAGTCACCTGGAGTTCGCGACTATTCCAGATTCTGTCAAGAGAAAAAGACAAGAGCGAGGAAACCATCAGTAATCATTTCTGGTTCTTGTCAAACCTTGCTGTTCCAGATTATTCAGCTCTCTTAACTCACTTTCACAGAGGTTCCAACTGCCAGTTATGTTAGGAGTGTCAACACTTACCTTAATTGAGATCTAACTGCATTGCATTAACATGAAATTAACATCAAACCCAGTCATCTAATTACTTTTAGCTACCAATTTATTCTGCCACTCCCGAAGATCTGAACCATGCCTTCAATGATAAGGCATCACACCAGAGACAATTTAAAATGTCGAGCAAATTTTGTGTCAAAAGCTGAGCAGTTAAACTGCTAAGAGTAATAAATTTACAGGCAACATTGTTTCACCCAACTCTGAGGCAGCAAAATAATAAAAAGAACTAAGCCAACACTTTGGTAACATTAAATAAGATATCTAATGAAATTAAAACTGCTTCTTAGAAATTAATGCTGAGTTTTTCATCATTTCAGGATCTTCAAACTGGTTGGTGCCTTCTCTGAGATTTCTACACTGATCCTGCAATTTAATCGCTGAAAAACATGACTTAAATCTCCTGGGTACAAATTTTATAACAAGAACCTTTGATCATTTATAATCTGGTTAAGTTCTATTTCTTTTCCTGTATAACCTGTAACTGACAAACTTACGGCATACTGAAACTGGAGATCTAAACTGGAGTTGCTTCTTAAAATGGGTAATGTACTGTGAGTGAATATCATAACTGGATAAACATACCAAATTTCTGTCACACTAAACAGCTCCTCTATATACTGCAACAGAAACAGAAGCTACTAAATACAAAGATGACCTATAATCAAGTGTTTAAAACCTCTGAAAAAGAATCTTGTGACATGCACTATTCTGCTTGCAGCTACTCCTACAATAAGATCTGCGTTCATGGTATGCCGTGCCTGTTTGTCTTGCACCATCCTCACACATCCACTATAGCTTATCTCCAACCTCTCTGTGACATCCAATATCCAACAAAGCCCAAATCAACCCCTCTTTCTGCTGTCCTCCATTTTGTCCTCTACAGAGATGTCTGTAGATTTTCAGCTCTGGTCAAGTGGCTAAAATACTGGCTTTTTTTTCTTCTGGAAGCGACATATTAGAGCCCTATCTGCTTTTGCAGTTTCAGGCACCTGATCATTTTACCTTATGGTCTGTCTAAGTATCTACATTTAAAAGGCATCTAGTCCTACTCACAGATCTTTACTTATTGTCCAGATTTCTGAGACATACAGGAAATTAGAAAGAATGTAGCATCTTTTTAGCTTTTTCCTCATTACAAGTTTGAGTTTTCTTGTTAACACAAAACTACCATCTGTAATATTTCTTCTAACCCCTACACTATATCTGCCATCTTCCAGTGTTCCTGAATAGACAAACTTATGTTTCAGCGTGTGACACCACCCATTTCAATCTTTACTCTAGTGTCCTTGATTGTATTCCTTCTAATCAACATTGTTTATGTCCTTTCGGTGTTCATATTTAATCTAAGTCATAGAACATAGAACATTACAGCGCAGTACAGGCCCTTCGGCCCTCGATGTTGCGCCGATCTGTGAAACCAATCTGAAGCCCATCTAACCTAAACTATTCCATTATCATCCATATGTTTATCCAATGACCATTTAAGTGCCCTTAAAGTTGGCGAGTCTACTACTTTTGCAGGCAGGGCATTCCACGCTCTTACTACTCTCTGAGTAAAGAACCTACCTCTGACATCTGTCCTATATCTATCACCCCTCAATTTAAAACTATGTCCCCTCGTGCTAGCCACCACCATCTGAGGAAAAAGGCTCTCACTGTCCACCCTATCTAATCCTCTGATCATCTTGTATGTCTCTATTAAGTCACCTCTTAACCTTCTTCTCTCTAATGAAAACAGCCTCAAGTCCCTCAGCCTTTCCTCATAAGACCTTCCCTCCATACCAGGCAACATCCTGGTAAATCTCCTCTGCACCCTTTCCAATGCTTCCACATCCTTCCTATAATGCGGTGACCAGAACTGTACGCAATACTCCAAGTGCGGCCGCACCAGAGTTTTGTACAGCTGCAACATGACCTCATGGCTCTGAAACTCAATCCCTCTACCAATAAAACCTAACACACCGTACGCCTTCTTAACAACCCTATCAACCTGGGTGGCAACTTTCAGGGATCTATGCACATGGACACCGAGCTCTCTCTGCTCATCCACACTACCAAGAATCTTACCATTAGCCCAGTACTCTGTATTCCTGTTACTCCTTCCAAAGTGAATCACCTCACACTTTTCCACATTAAACTCCATTTGCCACCTCTCAGCCCAGCTCTGCAGCTTATCTATGTCCCTCTGTAACCTGCAACATCCTTCCGCACTATCCACAACTCCACCGACTTTGGTGTCATCCGCAAATTTACTAACCCATCCTTCTGCGCCCTCATCCAGGTCATTTATAAAAATGACAAACAGCAGTGGCCCCAAAACAGATCCTTGAGGTACACCACGAGTAACTGAACTCCAGGATGAACATTTCCCATCAACCACCACCCTCTGTCTTCTTACAGCTAGCCAATTTCTGATCCAAACCGCTAAATCACCCTCAATCCCATGCCTCCGTATTTTCTGCAATAGCCTACCATGGGGAACCTTATCAAATGCTTTACTGAAATCCATATACACCACAGCAACCGCTTTACCCTCATCCACCTGTTTGGTCACCTTCTCAAGGAACTCAATAAGGTTTGTGAGGCACGACCTACCCTTCACAAAACCGTGTTGACTATCCCTAATCAAATTATTCCTTTCTAGATGATTATAAATCCTACCTCTTATAATCCTTTCCAACACTTTACCCACAACCGAAGTAAGGCTCACTGGTCTGTAATTACCAGGGTTGTCTCTACTCCCCTTCTTGAACAAGGGGACAACATTTGCTAGTCTCCAGTCTTCTGGCACTATTCCTGTAGACAATGACGACATAAAGATCAAAGCCAAAGGCTCTGCAATCTCCTCTCTAGCTTCCCAGGGAATCCTAGGATAAATCCCATCAGGCCCAGGGGACTTATCTATTTTCACACCTTCCAGAATTGCTAACACCTCCTCCTTATGAACCTCAATCCCGTCTAGTCTAATAGCCTGTATCTCAGTATTCTCCTCGACAACATTGTCTTTTTCCTGTGTGAATACTGACGAAAAATATGCATTTAGCGCCTCTCCTATCTCTTCGGACTCCACGCACAACTTCCCACTACTGTCCTTGACTGGCCCTAATCTTACTCTAGTCATTCTTTTATTCCTGACATACCTATAGAAAGCTTTAGGGTTTTCCTTGATCCTACCTGCTAAAGACTTCTCATGTCCCCTCCTGGCTCTTCTTAGCTCTCTCTTTAGGTCCTTCCTGGCTAACTCGTAACTCTCAAGTGCCCTAACTGAGCCTTCACGCCTCAGCTCTACATAAGCCTCCTCCTTCCTCTTGACAAGAGATTCAACTTCTTTAGTAAACCACGGTTCCCTCGCTCGACCACTTCCTCCCTGCCTGACAGGTACATACTTCTCAAGGACACGCAGTAGCTGTTCCTTGAACAAGCTCCACATTTCAATTGTGCCCAGCCCCTGCAGTTTCCTTCTCCATCCTACGCATCCTAAATCTTGCCTAATTGCCTCATAATTGCCTTTCCCCCAGCTATAACTCTTGCCCTGCGGTATATACCTATCCCTTTCCATCGCTAAAGTAAACGTAACCAAATTGTGGTCACTATCACCAAAGTGCTCTCCTACCTCCAAATCTAACACCTGGCCTGGTTCATTACTCAGTACCAAATCCATGTGGCCTCGCCTCTTGTTGGCCTATCTACATACTGTGTCAGGAAACCCTCCTGCACACATTGGTCAAAAACTAACCCATCTAAAGTACTCGAACTATAGCGTTTCCAGTCAATATTTGGAAAGTTAAAGTCCCCCATAACAACTACCCTGTTACTTTCGCTCCTATCCAGAATCATCTTTGCAATCTTTTCCTTTACATCTCTGAACTTTTCGGAGGCCTATAGAAAACTCCCAACAGGGTGACCTCTCCTTTCCTGTTTCTAACCTCAGCCCATACTACCTCAGTAGACGAGTCCTCATCAAACGTCCTTTCTGCCACCGTAATACTGTCCTTGACTAACAATGCCACACCTCCCCCTCTTTTACCACCTTCCCTGATCTTACTGAAACATCTAAACCCCGGAACCTGCAACAACCATTCCTGTCCCTGCTCTATCCATGTCTCCGAAATGGCCACAACATCGAAGTCCCAGGTACCAACCCATGCTGCAAGTTCACCCAACTTATTCCGGATGCTCCTGGCATTGAAGTAGACACACTTCAAACCACCTTCCTGCCTGCCTGTACACTCCTGCGACCTTGAAACCTTATTCATGACCTTACTACTCTCAACCTCCTGTACACTGGAGCTACAATTCAGGTTCTCATCCCCCTGCTGAATTAGTTTAAACCCTCCCAAAGAGCGTTAGCAAATTTGCCCCCCCAGGATATTGGTACCCCTTTGGTTCAGGTGTAGACCATCCCGTTTGTAGAGGTCCCACCTACCCCAGAATGAGCCCCAATTATCCAGGGATCTGAATCCCTCCCTCCTGCACCATCCCTGTAGCCACGTGTTCAACTGCTCTCTCTCCCTATTCCTCGCCTTGGTAGCACGTGGCATGGGTAACAAACCAGAGATAACAACTCTGTTTGTTCTAGCTCTAAGCTTCCACCCTAGCTCCTTGAATTTCTGCTTTACATCCCCATCCCTTTTCCTACCTATGTCGTTGGTGCCTATGTGGACCACGACTTGGGGCTGCTCCCCCTCCCCCTTAAGGATCCCGAAAACACAATCCGAGACATCACGGACCCCAGCAGCTGGGAGGCAACACACCAACTGCGAGTCTCTCTCGTCCCCACAGAATCTCCTATCTGTCCCCCTAACTATGGAGTCCCCAGTGACTAATGCTCTGCTCCTCTCCCCGCTTCCCTTCTGAGCAACAGGGACAGACTCTGTGCCAGAGACCTGTACCCCATGGCTTACCCCTGGTAAGACCTCCCCCTAACAGTATCCAAAACGGTATACTTGTTTTTGAGGGGAACGGCCACAGGGGATCCCTGCACTGTCTGCCTGTTCCCTTTCCGTCCCCTGACTGTAACCCATCTACATTTTTCCTGTACCTGAGGTGTGACTCCCTCCCTGTAACTCCTCTCAATTACCCCCTCAGCCTCCCGAATGATCCGAAGTTCATCCAGCTCCAGCTCCAGTTCCCTAACGCGGTTTCCGAGGAGCTGGAGTTGGGTGCACTTCCCGCAGATGAAGTCAGTGGGGACACTAGTGGTGACCCTTACCTCCCACATTCTACAGGAGGAGCATGCAACTGCCCTAACATCCATTCCCACTGTTCTGAATTCCCAAACAGACTATTAAAAAAAAAACTAGTAGCCTTACCAAATCAGCGCTCAGAACCTTTTTTTTTGGTTAGAGGAGGAGGATGGGTGGGAGACACTACCTAGGTAGTGTTTCGGGTAAAGCAACCGCCCAAATATATTACCTCACTTACTCACTCCAAAAATGGAGTCACGCGAGGTAAGACTTTTATAATCGAAAAGCTTACCTTCCCAGGCTGCCCTCACGCTTCCTCCCGGACTCCTGCCACTGAAACAACTGAAAGGCCGCAGTCACGCGAGGTAAGACTTTTATAATCGAAAAGCTCACCTTCCCAGGCTGCCCTCGCGCTTCCTCCCGGACTCCCGCCGCTGAAGTTTTTAAGTTTTACCTGATTTATAATAAATTTGTAGGATCTCCTCTGACTTCATGCTGCCTGTGTAGTATGTTCATTCTAATTTTTAACCTAGAAATACATCTAATTCTCTGATTATTTGTTTTGTGTCCCAGAATGAGTAGTTTTGGTGGCAGTGCACAGCCTTCTTGTACTCCTGCCTTTACTTGAAACATATATGGCAGTCCCTCTTCTGGCCTGATATTTACTATTTGGCCCCAACATAGATTTCTGGATAAATCTCACATCTTTACTGTCAATATCACATTTCAGCAACATGTCTATTAATTTTTGGGGATAAACTTAATAATCAGCAAAGTGATGGAAGGAATTGTCAACAGTGCTATTAAGCAGCACCTGCGCTTTGACATAAAAGCAAAAAGCTACAGATGCTGAGCATTTGAAATAAAAGAAGAAAATTCTGAAGAAACTCAGCAGGTCTGGCAGCATCAGTGGAGAAAGAAAGCGAGTTAACATTTCAAGTCTGATAGGACACTTCTTCAGAACTGCTCACTGGAACTCAGTATAGTTTCTGTCACGGTCACTCAGCTCCTGACCTCATTACGGCTTTGGTCCCAACATGGATAACAGAGCTAAATTCCAGAGGTGAGGTGAACTGACTGCCCTTTACATGAAGGCTACATGTGACCATGTGTGGCATCAAGGAGCCCAAGCAAAACTGATTTCAATGGGAATCTGAGGAAAACTCTCTGTTGGTTGGAGTTATATCTAGCACAAAGGATGACGGCTGCGGTTGTTGAAGGTAAAGCATCTCAGCTCCAGGGCATCTCTGCAGGAATTAATAGGGGTAGTGTTCAAGGCCCAACCATCTTCAGCTACTTCATCAACAACTTCCTCTCCATTATGAGGTCAGAAGTGGGGAATTACACAATGTTCAACACTATCTGCGACTCCTCAGGTACTGAAGCAGTCTGTCCGCGTATGCAGCAAGACTGGGGCAACATACAGGCTCGTAAGTGGCATGTAATGTTTGTACAATCCAAATTCCAGGCAATGATCATCTCCGACAACAGGGAGTCTAACTATTGCCCTTGACATTTAATGACATCACCATCACCAAGGCCACCATTTCAATATGCTAAGGGGTTTACCATTGACTCTAAACTGGATTAGACCAGCCATGTAAATACTATGGCTACAAGAGAAGGTCAAAGCTAAGAACTATACAGCAAGAAGCTCACTTCCTGTCTCCCCAGGTCTGTACACCATCTACAAGATAGAAGTCCAGAATGTGATAGAACTCTCTTGACTTGCCTGGATGGGTGCAACAACACTCAAGAATTTCAACACCATTCAAGACAAAGCAGTCCACTTGATTAGCACCCCCAGTCACCACCTTTAACATTCACTCCCATCACCGCAGATGCACAATGGCAGCAGTGTGTAGCGTCTACACAGTGGACTGCAAAATTTCAACAAGGTTCCTAAGACTGCAACTTTCAAACCTATGATTGTACCATTTACCATTTGTACCATAGACAATTTCTAACTGTCACTTCCTGAAAGACAGAGCTAGTATAGACAGTTGTATCCTGGCAAAGTGTAAGGTGAAGTCACACATTGTTGCAGTAGTACATAGCTGCATGCATTTCTGCAGAGACTCCAAAACAGTTCCGTATATTCTGAGCTAGCCCACATTGCCCTTCCCAGAATGAAATATTCTGCATCTTCTGCTAAATTAGCTTCAAATTCATCTGCTATGTCCCCTAACAAATAGTTAGACACATCTTCAGTTTAGCTTCACCTACCTTTAAGTACCTTAAGGTTGTTTTACTATATACAGATAAATGACCATTCTTGCTAAGGTTACTCCAACTCCTTAGTAGCATCAGGCTGAAAATCTCCACTAAACCAGGTCCTTTGTGAGGTTACCAGCACTCAGTGCTTCAATGACAAGTCTCAAAATAAAGTAACAAAGTGAGGATGTTTAACAAAATTATAAAACTGCTTCTCAGGTCCTATTATTCAAAGTCCATTCTTTAAGCAAATGGCCAGGACTTATATTAACTAAACTATAAACCTTGCCACGTAGAAGTTATACAATAATGAGTATTCCACGACAATACTGATGACAAAGGGACCTTGTACAGTTGGCAACTAGTTTCCATCAAATATGGAATATAGCTGACCAGGCTTGAGAGGATAGAATGGAGAAATAGATCAAAATAAGAAGTGCCTGACCTAAAACTGTACCATCCTCACCATCTGAAAGTCACTCAATGTCATTGGAATAGCATCATTTAAAACAACTATTTAATTTGCAATGTTTTAAACTTATTTAACACTTTGGAAAGTCTAACTACAGCTACTGATCTCCGTGTTGGGGAAATATACACAAATATACACCTTGAATTCGTAGGTCAACTTACTGATCCTTACTGAGTGAGTGAACTAGTTGAACTGGGCAACAGTTAACCCACCTGATCATCTTGTCCTCGGAGGTCTGAATTACAAGTGATTCTGCAGGAACCCAGCAGATGTGTGTTACCTAGAAAGAGTTGACTACAATCAATTAATTCGCCAATCAAGAAATGTTGCCATGTAACTGAACAACATAGCAAGAAAGAGGGGAGCAGTTATATGCAAGGCCACTAATTTTGTCTCAATGCAAAAAATGGACGACCAAAACCACGAGTAAAAGTCTCACAATCCGGAGATAATTGAACATTAGTCTCTATTTGGGACCTGGGTTCAAATCTAGCTGAGACTGTTGGGATCAAACAACATTCTTTCCGTATTGTAAGGATCCTACTGAACTGAGTTTCACTCTATGTTGCAGCTGGGGCCAAGGACGTCATCAGGGTCATATTTGCATATTTTGCATATTTGTTGGCTTTTGGGCAAGTGTACTTGGGCACTTGTAATTTACAATTCGTTGAGATGGCAGGCTAGGAGGTAAATCATCTGTTCCATTTTAACTGATCCCCTTGCCTGGTTTCTGGTTAAATACCCTACTGTAGAAGTGACCTATGCCTGGCCATGTAAAGTGACTTGTACCTGACCACACTAAGCAGCCCATGCCTGATTACAAGATGGCAGACAGAAGCTGAGCAAAACTAAGCAGCCTGCTCACACAGTGAAATACAATGGCACCTTTGAACAGAACTGCTAGAAGGTCAGTAAAAGAACACTGTATGTTCCCATCCCAGACAGTTCTGATAAAAGGTTGCCTTACGACAGATAAATGACCAATTCTAGCCTTATTACTGAAAGGATGATTGTCCCAGTAAATGAACAACATCAGGTGCTCGCTGAAGTCCCTAAGCAGCTGCAAGGATAACAGCTAAAGTTATTTCATAGTAAATAGATGCTTCTCTGAAGCTACCTGCAATATTAAATAGTTTCTAGTTAAAATGCTTTAATCATAGAAGTTGATTTCAATACATAACCGGAATATAATACAAGCATTTAAAAAACATATAAGCCTAGATGTGAAGATTAACTAGCCTGAGGAGACACCTTCTCTTGTGCCCTGAACAAGATAGACTGCTCACAACCCATAAATTACAAAATGCTAACAGTAGAAGTAGTTGTATAACGTTGCACTTTATAATTAACTTTATAACAGAAATTAACCTTCTAGCAATTAGATAAAACTAACTGACTTTTTATTTTAACATTATGTAATTGGGACAGTGGGAAATATTAGAGGAATTGCTGAATTTGATAAAATAAAGCACATGTAGTACAATGAATACTAGAATTCACACTGTCCTTAGACATAACAAGCCTGAGACAGATCTGAAGGAATGTAGCCAGTAAACGTTTGGAATGTGAATGAATAGGATGCATAGAAAGATCCCAAGGCCTAGCAATTACAAACTCCAAAAACCATGGGAACCTGGGGCTGTCTGTGGGAATGCCCATCATTGATGAGGTGAGCTAAGGGATTGGGTGTATGGATTAAGAGGAAAGGACAGTGACTACACTGTATTTGATCATTGTAACAAAGTGTATAAAATGCTGTATTTTCGCTGTAAAAATCAGGCATCATTGATCTCCCTTCCAATTTGGGGAAGATTCTTTGGCCCTCTCCCTGCATCAACTGGCTTCTGCTTGAATAAACGTTTTCCACTTGCCTGAATCCTGCCTGCCGAGTTTTTGTCCCCCATCGGAAAAAATGCTCCTACCGATTGGCGCTGTGAGCAGGGTGCCCTGCCTGAGGCCGGTACACGTTGGGCCACAGTCTGGGTGAGTATGTTTATTTATCACCTTTTCTAGCTAGTGTGGCACTTTGTGGGGAGCTTCTGTAAGCCAGGGCATAAAACAAACTTTTAGATTGGAGCAAATACGAGATGTTAGGATCAGGCATAGTGGAAGTGGACGCCTGCCGTGAGAACACTCAAAATAGTGGAAGGGGATCCCAGCGCGAGAATGCATGAAATAACACGAGAAAGCGTGAAATAACGCAAGAACACAAAATAATGAAGAAGGGATTGCAAGTCCTGGTGCGCAAAATAGGAGAAAAAGAGAGGTGTTGCGAATCCCGATGCTGTCACACGCAAAATAAAGAAGAGGGATACACAAAAAACAGAAATTTCTGCAACAAGAGATGCGAGAAGTAGGGAAAGAACAAGGATCTGGGAAATAATAAAACTGTAAAATAAAAGCAGCAGCCACAGTTGACACAGTCTGGCAAAATGGCAGGGAAGGATTTTGGAAAAACAGGCTGAGGTCCAGACCATCCATTCTGCAAATTGTGTTTAAAAAAAGAGTGCAGAAACATGCTGAAATAGCTACAGTGTTCATAAGAGAGAAAGACAGCGGGCGAGGTGGCTCTCTGTGCTAGTTCACTGAATCTTGTAGAGATGTTAACTCTTTGTGGTCTGGTTTGAATGCACCTTTGTTTGTTGATTGCTATATGTCATCTGTGCAATTTGTGTGTTTTTGTTCCCTAGAACTCGAGATCTGGGGATGCTTTGAAGTTAGTTTGCATTTTGGGAATGTGTGGTGACTTAATAAGTGGTGTGCCTGTGTAAGTATGGGACACGTACGGTTAATGTGATGTCCATTTAAGAAACTCTCAGTGCTTGTGCAAAGCAGAAGTCTATAATGAAATGTTGATTTAAAAAGTTGGTTTGTAAAACTTGGTAAAAATTTACCTTTTACAATTAGCTCTGTATTGTGTTTGGACTCAGCTAAATTTTAATTTCAGAAATTACCATGTTTGGAATTTCATTTACTGGCCAGAAATGAACTTCCAAAAACGGTTTTAACACACGAGTGAATCTTTAACTCTGGGTGATAAGATTTGCTCATTGTAAAGGTACTGTCATGTGAAAGTATGCAAATAATAGAAAATTATGAATCCTGGGAATGCAATTCCCTTTGAACAAAATTCTGATATGCCCTAAAATCTGAGAAAGCCGATAAACGAATTAGAAAAGGGAAACTTAACAGAGGAGATGGTTCAGTACTAATTAACCCATTCTGCTTGACAAGGGACAGATGGATACTTTCTTTAGAAATTTTAAGTCCACGTATGATGATATTTTACTGCTACTGGGTGAAGTTATCTGTGGATACAGAACTGGAGAATATAAAAAAAAACACAAATTAATAAAGTACTCAATTGGCTACAAAAGCAGAAAATAACCAAAGGTAATATTAAGAAACCAGCAGTTGTTACAGGGTGTGAGTGGCGGGACTCAACCAGCCACCCTCAGCCAACAGATTGAAATAAAAATTGTAGATATATGTGTTTAAAAATACTGAAGGTAGTATATTAGGAATGGACTTGTTGGAACGGTTTGGAGCTGTGATTAACATGCGAGAAGCAAAAATTGATTGGAATTGCCAGCTTAAATTTAGAAGGTCAAGAATTACATGCTTCCTTAAGATTATAACTGTGCCGCCACAATCGAGTGGGAATGGGATCCCGAGAATCCCTACCATAAAATAGCAATGATGTGCCCCAAATTATGGGCAGCCACCATAACCAAGTGTGGGAAATTAGATATAAAACCGATTGAAATACCTGGAAATGTACTTAAAAGGCAGTACCCCACCAGACCTGAAGCTGTTGAGGCAGATAAAGAAATTGTGAAAGATTTGGAGAAACAAAGAGAGATACATGACTGTATCCCCCTCATGGAGCAGGAAGAAGAAAGAGTTAAGTAAGAGTCATTAGAGGGGCCAGACATGAAATGCATGTTTGCCGAGGGGCGCTTAAGTATTATCATGGTGAGGCGCAGACAGGGTGGGCCGTGGTTAATTTGCAAGGGGAGCTTTTAGCAGGAGAGAGAATAGAAGGCTGTCACTCCACCCATGTAGCTGAACTAAAAGCACTTATTGCAGCCCTGAAGCTAGTGAGAGGACAAAGGGTTAATATCGACACAGACAGTTGGTATGCCTTTGGTGTAGCCCATGACTACATGATGGCATGGGCAAGGCGAGGGTTTCTCACTTCAAATGGTAGTGTAATTCAGTATGACCTAGTGGCTGCAGCTATTGGACCAGAAGGAGGCAGCAGAAATTAAAGTAAAAGCACACAGAAAGATCCAGACACCAGAACAGAGAGGGAATGATTATGCAGATAGTGCAGCAAAAGAAATGTTAGAACAGGAAGTGATAACCATAGCAGCTGTGAGAGAGCAAGAAGCCAAAGATGAAGAATGGAACATTTTAAATTTATAAGCAGCAGCTAATTCAGAAGAGAAAGCAGGAATGAATTATAAATCAGAGCAGCATGAGGAACAGATGATATTTGGAGAAAAGAAAGCAAAGTGGTAGCCCCCATATTCTGGCAACAGACCCTATGCAGTGTTTACCACGGATTAGCACACGTAGGAAGAAATAAAATGATACAGCTAATATCTAATTGCTGGTGATGGAAAGGAATGAGAATAGACATAGCTAAATTTTGTCAAAGGTGCACTGCATGTGCACAGACAGAACCAAGACAGGGAATTAAAATTAAAATGAGCCATCAGCCCCGTCCAATGGGGCCATGGAAACACGTTCAAATGGATTTCATAGGGTCACTCCCACAAAGTCAGAATAAGAAATTCTATCTAGTTATGGTTTACCAGATGGATGGAAGCTTTCCCTACAAGGGGCAGTACTGCAACCTCAGAGGCAAAAATATTAGCAGCTGAAATAATACCTGGAGCGGGGTGGGTTCCCCTACAACTGAACTCAGACCAGGGAACCCACTTTACAGACAAGCGCCTGAAGGAAGCATGTAAACTACTGGGAATAATACAAAGGTATCATATCCCCTACTATCCACAGAGCTTGGGAATGGTAGATGAATAGAACACTGAAAAATGCTTTGACCAAAGCAATGATAGGAGAAGGGGGTTAAATGGACCCTTTCCCTACCAGCCATTCGATGGTCCAGACAGCAACGCCCTCTAGGGCCACTGGACTAACGCCCTTTAAGCTCATGATGGGACAAGCACTGACACTCCCCCAGGACCTAATCACAGGGGCAGCAGAACGGATGACAGCAAGGGACAAGTCTGGGATTACATGAAATCCCTCTGT